AGGGTTTTTCATTTCCCCGATGTCACAGTGAAGTGGATAATAAAGGGAGTTAGATCCAACCGATTCACTCTTCTTACGTATTTCACTCTCTGTGAAAGATTTGAGCGCACAGGAAGCTCGGATGTTAGCAATCCGTTCATTACGCGCTACAACGCTGTCATAGGGCACAGAAAAGGTAAAGCTACCGTTGATCTGGTTTTTTCTTTGAGAACCGTCTGAATTACTCGTTAAAAGAGTTTTGACTTCCTCAAGTCGAAACGGAACAAAAGACTGACCCGAAACCAGATTTCCCACTTACGCATTCAAACAACTCGAGCACAACAGCAGAGCTACACATGGTTATAACAAGTTTGCAGGCAACAAACGCAGCAAGAATCGTAAATGAGATAAGAAACTGAAGCAAAAAAATCAACTCATTGCAGCAAAAAAAAAAAAAAAAAATGGATTCTGGCAAGAACAGTGAACGAGAAATATCGCCCGAGAATTCCCTGCTGAATTCTTTAGCCTAATTATGCAACAGAGAAAATCAAAGCCATAGTCCCCTCGTATTTCATCCCTCGAAAGCAATTGAGCAAATCGGCAGTAGTTTAAAAATAAGCAATCTACCCAAAGCAGTACCGATTGCTGGAGAAAAAAATGTAGCCAAAAACATAAAAAATATAGCTACTTACACTTGACTGAGGCCAATAAGCTGGAAGGAGTTTTGAACAGAAAAAAAAATCTTGCATACAATATTTAAGAATTATCCAGGGCTTGAAAGCTTCTTAATTCATGTAATAATTTCCGCAGAATACTGACTTCCTTCTCCAGTTCATTAACCTTAGTCTTCAGGAAGTCATTTTTCATGAGAAGCTCCCCGACGAGATTCAAATGAATTTCGCGTTCCCACTTTTTCCGCTCTCGATACCGTAGCGCTGCTGCACGATTCCGCTCCTTTCTTTTTTCAACACCGCGTACAGGCTTCTCATTCAGGTGCTCACGTACTGCTCCCTACAGTAAACAAACTGTATGGACGATGAGGTGAGAGAGTAAACAGTTATGCGAATATGCATAATATTAATATGATAATTTAAGGAATTTATTCTTGACGAGTAGTGGCAAGAACCCAAACAATTAAAGGCAAACCGGAAAAGCAAACTTTTCAACACTTGTTATTGGCACTAAGAGGAATAGCAAAATCAAGGGCTTACCTTCGAGCTCACCGCTGGTAACTCTGACGCGTAGCAGCTATGTTCGCTCAATGCTGCTGGTAAATTCGAATCGGAAGGTGCACCTTGAACAATGAGTGATCGTCTCTCAAGCTCACCGCATTCACGCGCAATTTCTTCAAAAATCTCTTCTTCCGTAGGACAAGCACAGCTGTGAGTGCAGGCAGAGCTAACGCCACTGCAGTTTTCGTTGGTACACCCAAAGTCTGTGCGCAACCCAGAAGAAGTTCCGTAGATGTGTGCATCATACACGTTGCTGCCTTCTGCAGTCTCAACAAACACAACACTTGGATATCTGGAAATTACACATTTTCAACATAAGCTTTCTTGGGAAGGAAATCAACGACAATAACTGCATATAAAATTACCCCTTCCGAACGGAAAACTCCCCGCTAGAATTTTTTTTTTTCAAACAAATATGCATGCTAGTGGCATAATCAGAAAGCGTAAGCGGAAAGTTCTCATCCTCTTCTCAAAAAATGTCAAAATTACGCAAATGAAGAGGAAAATAGATGAGGCAACCTCTAGTTGAGAAACAAGGGACTGTGTTGAAATCATGTTAGACATGCTTACAA